AAGAAAACAAGGAGCGGTTGGAAGCTTTAGTCACTCGCCAGCTGGAAAACAGCCCTCAGCCCCTCACCCCCTCACCCAGAGCACCCCAGTGGGGACCCCCACCCTGATCCAGGACACCCTTCAGGGCAAACCAGCCGGCCCCCACCCGTGCACCCGTGCACTGTCCTATATAGTAAAAGGATAATATGCCTCCCATCACTGGGATCAGCGGAGCCGAGAGGCCTCCTGGCACCAGGATCAGTGTGACGGGGGGCAGCACCCAAACCCCCTGATCGCCCTGTGGCTCTGTGAGTGACAGGGGGCGGGGCCACAACCTCCCTATCCGTCCTACTCTGTTCGTGACAGGGAAAGGCACCCCAACCCCCTGATCAGCCCTCCTCTGTGCCTGATAGGGGGGAGCTCCCCAATCTCCTGACTGCCCTGCGGCTCTGTGTGTGACAGGGTGCGGCGCCCCAACCACCCCCCCCCACGGGCCCTGCTCTGTGCCTGATAGGGAGGAGCTCCCCAATCCGCTGATTGACGAGTTCGAGAGCAACGCCGGGCAAGAGCCAGCGCTGCACCATTTGTAGAATGGATGGGTGAATGAGTGAATGAGTGATGAGTGAATGGGGTGGTGTGATTAAGATCCTGACTTTACGAGTCAGATGCATCGGTTCTGTCCTATTTCCCCAACGTGTTACCTGCAACCTCATACGCATTACGTTACCGTCTCAAGCTCGCTCTCCTGAGCTGTAAACGGGAGACTGGGTAGCATCTCCCTCCCACGCTGTTGTGAGGGCGGTGACATCAGGTCTAGTAGCCACGCGGACAGCGCCCGGCGGGTAACCTGCCCTCAAGGAAAAGGAGATGCTTAAAATGTTCCTCTTTCATCTTGTTCTTTGTGGCTTCACGCATATTTTAGCAGAACAGTCAAAGGGCTCATGACATAGGAGTATGTGTAAGAAGACAGTAAAACAGGAGGCACCGTCTAGGCCAGTGATGGCGAACCTATGACACGCGTGTCAGAGGTGACACGCGAACTCATTTTTTTGGTTGATTTTTCTTTGTTAAATGGCATTTAAATATATAAAATAAATATCAAAAATATAAGTCTTTGTTTTATTATGGTTGCAGATATCAACAAATTTCTATATGTGACACGGCACCAAAGTTAGGGTTTTTCAAAATGCTGACACGCCGAGCTCAAAAGGTTCACCATCACTGATCTAGAGCAATTTCTCAACTTTTCCTTTTTGATTGATATTTTTGAGGAGTATAGGCCAGTCATTTTGTAGAATGTCTATTTTGGATTTGTCTGATGTTTCTTCATAATTAGGTTCAGATCATACATTTTTAGGGGGAATACCACAGAATTGTGTCTCTCTCAGTACATTATACCAAGAGAAACATGATGTCTCTTTGTCCCAATGTTGGTTATGTTAATTTTGACCACTTGCCTAAGGTGGTGTCTGCCAGATTTCTCAACTGTAAAGTCCCTATTTTCCCTTTCTAATTAGTAAGTAATTTGTGGGGAGATTACTTTTAGACTACTATGAAAGTATCCTTTTCCTAATTTCACCCGCTAGGTTATATATATATATATATACACATACATATACATATACATATACACACACACACATACACACACACACACATATATATATATATTTTTTTAAATTGGTTTCAGAGAGGAAGGGAGAGGGAGAGAGAAACATCAATGATGAGAGAGAATCATTGATTGGCTACCTCCTGCACGCCCCCTACTGGGGATCGAGCCC